CTTAGCAAAACAAAGACAAAAACACTTTTCTAAAATATACTATATCGCCTCAGAATCACGTCGACTAGATTACAAGCTAAATTACAAACTCTTTGCAGAGCTGAAAATACGTCCTTCAGTGCACCCAGCACACTGCATGGTTAAACATGTATAACAGCTGTACTCTCAATGACGGCAGTCTTTTCATTTATATTGTGGTTATTTTATGTCTTAATTTTGTACGGTCCCACACAGTGACCCCCCGTACAAAAAGGAAGAAGTGAAAAAAGATTTGGGGGTATCCCGGTCAGAATCGTTAATGAAGTAAATGTCCTTTTTATCTGACTGGGCTGGGACTTGCAGGGGACACACCGACTGCACCCATTGAGCTTGTCTCCCGCCCCGCCACGCCACGGCTATCAGCCCGCGCAGAGCTGCACGTGTGTGGCCGTACTGATAAGCGGTACCACGCTCAGGAACCAAAACGAACAGCAAAGTCAGCCGGGTTAGCCGCGTCCTCATAAAGGTTGCTACTACTGGCCTTTTTTTGGGTAGGCGGAGGCTGAGGCAAAAACAGCGGAATCACTTCCCGGGCGGGGCGCGCGTTGGAGTGGCCATTTTCACGAAACGCCTTCGCATTTCTACATTCAAACTTTTCCATATGGAAACGTTCTTTGTTGTTGCTGTTGTCTCAGGATTTAGAACGATGGCGTTTGAAATATATAGATTGCACACACAGCGCGCGGTGGTGGAGTGGGGAGGGGCGGCCGCTACAGCGGGTGGCAGGCGGTGTTGCCCCTGAGCCGGGGCTACACGTTGGTGACCTGCGTCATGGTGACGCCCACCGTGTGCCCGTTGCCGTCGTCGTGGCCGTTGTGCTGCGGGACGGCGGTCCACGCGCCGAGCAGCCGCGGCCGGAACAGCTGGTTGAACGTGTTGCGGAACTGGCGGCTCATGCAGCAGTACACCATGAAGTTGATGGCCGAGTTGATGAGCGCCAGGATGTCCATCACCTGCAACAATATCATTTGTTCGCCATTGTTTATAATATTTGTAACTTGTGTCTTTTTCAAACTTAGTTGGAAGGGCCGTGCAGAAACATTTTTGTTGAGGTATTCTCTTACAAAAACAAAATGCTAATGCTAAATATTAAAAAAAAACGAGAATATCTCAATATGAATAACCATACTAAATTATACACTAGAATCCTTGCCAACAAAATGTGGATGCTTTATACTTGCGAACTATTGTTTCCTTTCGCAATCACACTGCAAACCCAAAAGTGCACACAAGAGTCACGATAGAGTGTACTTGCCATACATAGCAAGCACACGCATGTAGTGTAGATGTTGCCTGCAAGTCGACTCCTCCTTGTGTGCACTGTTGTACACTGGCGGGTTTGCAGTGCAGTATGATTCCTTGCGAAGAGTAAATTTTTCGTATTCGGAAGGATTTGGCTGCTTTGTCAACCCAGAAAACCTTTGTCTTAAACCAAAGGAAAATGTCGCATCAAAGAATTTTTCAAGGTATATATCATATCTGGGCTTATAGAACAGGACAGCACAGTGCACACGTTTTCAGCCTTTCATAAGTGCGTCAGTCTCGCGTGTCAAAATATTATTTATTTCCAAACGACAACACTTCTCTGCGTTCACGCCCATGCCTGCTCGACCCCTTTCCTGCTGTATGGTGGGCTGCCTGCCGCGCCGTCCCGTCCCGCTTCGCCACACCACCTCCTGTCAGGCCTGCCGGGCCGAGATAAGATTCTAGGCCGACAGGCAGGAGATGAGCGCAATCGCACGGGTCGCTGCCGTCGGGAGAGGAGAGGGGGGAAAGGTCTCGCTATCATGACGCTCTCTCCACACCCCAAATTTGTATCTCGTCCATTAATTTTATTTTAGTTTTTTTTTTTACAGAAGGGGTTAGTCGACGCAGCGTGCACGGACACGGGCTAATTGAATTTCCAATGTGTGCAAAAGTGCAGGCGCGTGGCAGCCGGAGGCGCCTCCTTGACGACGAGGCTGAGTAAGACGTCGGGCTGAGGGGGGGGGGGGGGGTTTGGGGGCAGCGCCCGTGCTCAAAGCCCTCTCGGCCTTCTTGCTCTATCCGGCTGGGTGCTCTGCGCACTGTACTACACCGCCCCGCCCGGCCCCGCCTGGCCCCGCCTGGTCCCGCCTCGCCGCGACACGCTCCGAGGACATGGTGTGCAGTGTGGGCGCCGGGGGCGCCAAGAAAGGGAAGAGAGAGGGTCGGGCGGGGTCGCAAAGCAAACAATCGGGCTGCTGAGAGTAGTCCCCCCCCCCCCTCCCATCGCACACCGTCACGGGGAAGTTGCGCGACTTGCTCAAATTGGTTCAGCACCGACGCGATACGTGATTTCCTGCCCTTGCGGTCCCGTGCGGCTCATACATTATTACTCTCGCGAGGAGGAAGCCGCACACTCAAACGCTCGCTCAAACGTTTTTCTTTGACCAAACAGGAAAAGGAGAGCGCGCCACGTTTCTGGCGACGCGATGTTGTGCAACCGCCAAACGGAAACCCTCGGAACGGTGTTTGTTGAAGGGAGACGCTCAACCAGCCGTAGCGGAGGATGACTCGAAATGTTGTTGCCAAAGCCTATTTTCTTTTCAGCCCCACCCGAGACGGCCCCAAGAACGTGACTCAAGTGAGCACACAGGCATGCTGCGCGCGGAGCCTGGCAGAGTGGCGGGTAGATGGAAAAAGCAGAACCTGGGGTACAGATCAGACACACGAGCGCGCGTGGCCTTACATTCACTCACTCACACACTGTGCACGTTGCTGGGCTCTTATAACCCCATGGGAACACCCATATCGAATCCACATAGCTGGGACGTGGTCGAACCACCTCGACACGACGTGGATGATCGAGTCGATCATCCAGTGCCAAACGGTAGTAGATTTCACGTAGAACCAACGTTGATCAGTCCGCCCCTACACGCTGTTTCGACGTAGAATGATCCTGGCATCCCCGTAACAGCAAAAATAATTTTAGTAGTATGGCGCCAGTTAAAATTTTATTTACTTTTTTAAGGATTTAATTTTGTTTGTACTTATTTGGTTAGAGGAGACCCTCTGAATACTTCATTACAACAACTTCTAATGAAAACTCGATTGATACCTTACCGGGAGTTGAACCTTGGACCTGCTGCTCCGTAGTTGACGCCTCTAACCACGACGCCACCGTGACAACTTAGCGAGGAAGCCAACTGAAACCTATCTCTATCCAGAAGGATCTGTCTATCTCAACCACGTTGCATCCACATGGATTCTACGAGTGCAAAATGCAAAATGTCTGGACCAAAGTAGGAACCAAGTTACTGGACATCATCAGCTTCAAACCTGATGGGAACATTATGTGAATGCTATGCGAAAGGACCATGTTCGAAAACGTATATATTAATGAGAGATGTACAAGACCATAATTATTAGTGAACGTTGCGTCGATGTCGACAGAGCCTCTCTTCGCCCACATTCCTCGATCAACAAAAATGACGAAGAGATGTGAAGTTGACGCATCAATGTAGGTCACATCATACGTTGATCTATGTACATATCTCGTAGACGAATAGACATTGACAAAAGAACGATACATCTACGTGGAAACGACATATTTCGCATCGCTAAAAACCGTCTAGTTTACGTCTACGTGGATCAGATGTATAATCATCGAGAGGGAGTGGCAACTAACAAATCGACGTGGACTGCACGGTGAATAATCTCCATGGTTCAGTCCACCCGAGTTCTAATCCACCTTGAGGCTAAAGGGATAGATCTACGTGTATGTATCCACGTAGTACACGTTGAGTCCACGTAGATAGCCCATTCTGTTCCCATGGGGAAGGTTCTTCACATGAAATCTTATAAACTGTCCCTAATGCAACAATTTTCAATCTTCGAATCTGATTTGATAGAGGCGGGTGGAGGTAAAGTTTCTCTATAGCCGTACATCCAGAAAAATGATTTCTTGTTTCAAGTGCATTTTTGTACTTAAAGCGACACAAGATAAATTTTTTCTTGGCACAAGATGAATTTTTTCCTGGCAGAAGATAAAATTACTTTCCGATGAAGAAAATGTTCTTCGTCCAAAGGAAAAATCGCCCTGAGCCAATGACAAATTAATCTCGTGTCACTTTTAGTACAAAATGTACTTGAAGCAAGAAATCAATTTTCTGGGTGTATGGGTGCATTTTCGAGACTACTGAGCAGTAACTTACGTCGCCCAGCTTGACGTAGCACTCGCGGAAGAACTTGCTGCCGAGCAGCACGCTAAGCAGGCCCAACAGGCCCTGTGGAGCCTCGGTGATGAGGAACAGCAGCAGCACGGCCAGGAGCATCTTGGTCGTCCTGTCGGTCTGCTTCTCCTTCTCTACGAGCCGCTGGCTCTTGTTGGCGCGCCGGCTGCGCTTGCTCGCGCCACCGCCCCCGGCGCCGCCGTTGAGCGCCTGGTGCACCGAGCCGCCCATGGACAGCTGCTGGCGCCGGCGCTTCGTCTCCAGCAGCGCGAAGATGAGCCTCAGGCTGAGGATGGTGAGCGCGGCGCAGGGTACCAGCTTGATCACCACGCTGTACACCTGCAACAGCAAATGAGACGCGTCGGGGTACTGCACTGGGCTACGGTACAACAAGTTTCTAATCTTAAGAAAGAACAAAATCTTTGTCTGTACTCTATTGTTCAGTTAGCCTTGGTTTTTAATTCTGTTAAGCTCGGTACGACTGCTTTAAACAAATTTATGGCAGCCTATTGTTTGTTGCACAAGAACTAGGAATTCGAAACTGCTTGCGCTTTCCGACTGCAACTTTTGCAACAACTAATTGGTCAGCTTTCGCAAGAGTTGTTGGCTCGAAACGCGAAACGTCTCGCTCTGCTGGATCGTCCAACGTTTCCAACTCTGTCCTTACCCCCCCCCCCCTTTCCCTCGCGCCCCCTCTTTCCCCTCCTGGTTATCCCCGTCCGAGTCTCAGCGAGTCACTGCGGCGGTCCGCGAAATTTGTCATCCTGTAGGTAAGAGGGCGCCTCTACTTCCTCGGGCCAATTTCTCATCCGGGCCGTAATGCCACGGCAGCTCCATGCCGTCTCGCAATGACTCCGGCCCCCACACCCCGCACCCACCCCACACCCCACCCAACACACCGCCCAGCTCACGCTTGAGCATCCAGCTTCAAACACTGAGTGGTACTTTCCGAGAAAAATCAAGTATGCATCTCAATTTATGACTAAAGTTTTGGTCCTACTGAAGGAATAAAACATTCACTGGAAGTTTCTTACAAAGAACGCTCTTCGTAACGTACAGAGGATTTGGAACCTTTGTAATACAAACAAGTCATTTGTATTGTCTGTTCACAAACTGGTGCTCTTTTGTAATACGTAGAAAATTCGTTTGTAATATGGTGGTTCCAGATCCTTTGTACGTTACAAACCCAATTCTTTGTCGTAATATGCAGACCACTCTTTGTAAGGAACTAAGAGTAGTATTGAGTGAGTCGAAATAGTTTCGTTTACAAGTAACCTCTGCTAACGTTTTTTTACTATTTGCAGAAGCACGGTTTGATTGGTGATACGTTCATTTGCAGAGCTCGGCGATATACTCAAGGCCGGGGCTCTACTCTCGTGAGATTCCTCATTCTGGGAATCAGTCGCACAAGACCGAGCTTGTGTGTGGGATCCCTCATTCCGAGAACCATCCCACCCAGGCGCTCCGGCACACAGATCTGTGTTTTCTCGAGAACATAACAACACACACTGTAAGTAGTGTAAGTATCTTACGAACAACTGCTGTTCGTAACGTACAAAGGATTTTGAGCATTTGTATAACAAACAAATTGTTTGGATGACGATGAGCCTGGTTTGTATCACCAACGAGGCTGCTCTTCGTATTATGAAAGGGGGCTGTTCGTAATATGAAAGGAAGGTCGTTCGTAATATGGCTACTTCAGATCATATGTACATTGCAAACCCAATGCGAACACTGCTGTTTGTAAGGAACTAGGAGTGCACCAGCCACACTATTTTCGCGATCTTTCTTAGCATTTCCGAGGAACCATGCGCCCTCCCTTTCCTCTGTGTTGCTCGGCATACTTGGGCCACCATCTCTGAGATATTGCTTCCGGTCTCGCGACGACGGAAGTGTAAAAGTCGTCCGTCCGTCGCTTTGTCTCTCTCATTCTCACCCTACCCTCCCTCCCTCTTCCCCTCGTCATCGTCCCTTCCCCTCCGTGCGCCCCACAGAGTGACCGGTCCACTTCACCGGAACACGGCCAATCATCAGACCCCCACCCCCCCTCTCCTTTTCCTCCCGGCAACCTCCAAACGTTCCGGTGCACTCACAAAGCGAGGGGCAGGGGCTCGCAAAAGAAAAACAGCCGTGGGAAGAATATCGCGCCCCGCCGACTGAAGCAGCGCGCAGACAAAGGAGAGAGATACCCGCCCGATATTATTGTCGTGGGCGGCAACAGCGTGATATTGCCAATCTAGGGGAAGGGGGGGTGGGGGCGCAGGTGGCTGCGTAACTGGTCGCCTACGCCTTCTCTCTCCTCATCGTGCGCGGCGGAGCGGCAGGCGCGCGAGCGCCTCAAGGTTGACCTCGACCCAACAACGCTGCTGGCAGGAGGATAAGCCGCGCAGCCGGAGAGAATATAGCGCGAAAGCTTTGTCAAACAGTCTCTGTAACCAACGCGACAGGAATAGTGTGCGTCCGCCGAGTTGCCGTTGAGTAGCAGAGCAGCCGGCTGCGGCTGGTCCACTTCCGTGCGTCCCGGGCGACGCCCTCACCCTCCGCGGGGCAGCACGGCCCTTCCCGGGGCCCGGGGGTGTCCGCACGAGTAGTGTCCTCGACCGGGAGCGAGCGGAATAGAGGGAAGAGGAAGGGAGGGGGCTTTCCGATCCTCCTCCGCCTCTACAAGTCTCCTCCTTCGGCGGGCAGGACTTCGTCCCTCGGAGGGTGAGTGAGGCCTGGAACGGGGGATAGAGGGGAGACGCCGCTCATTTCAGATTCACGCCGCTAAACCTCTTCTTATCTCTCTCTCTCTCTCTCTCTCTCTCTCTCCCTCCCTTTGCCCCATCTCTCTTCCCCGCCGTGCCTCGCACTCTCGCACTCCCCGCGTCATCCCTCAGCAGCCAGTACGTCGGGTCAGGGTACGGAGCTGAGCGGAGGGACGTGTCCTAATCCCCCGCTTTGCGCTACTCTCACTCGCTCTCTGCCTCACGCCACCCATCCCCCGATCATTCTCTCTCTCTCTCTCCTTCCCTCCCCCGCTTTCTCTCTCTCCTGCCTTCACTCACTCGTCCACCAGCCCACTCGGCCACTATAGCGAACTCGTCCACCAGACCACTCTTCCACTAGCTGCTCCTCTCCTCCGCGCAAGCTTCTCTTTGCCATTCTCTCCTCTCATTGTTGGAGGATGCGCAGCCATGAGGAGAAATTCGCTGGGATTAGGCGTCTGCATTGTGCTGCTCCCTCCGACACCATCTAGCACCCCCCCCC